TATTTGTTTATATGAGTAGTATAATATAATATTTATTTTATATGTTCTAACGTAATATTGTAGTCATCTAAAACCATTCAAATGTGCATTATACTTTTTTCTCATTGATAGATTTTTCAAACAGAGCTTTCTTTAATAATTTCTGCCCAAACTTTAGATAATCGTCAATGATCTATAGAGGCTTTTGAATCTTGGTGAGTAGTTTCTTTGCATCCTACCGCTTGTTTGTGTCTCATCTCATCTATTCAACCCTCAGAGCTATGGTGCTCATAGTTGTTTATTGGTAGGAGTCTGACCACCCCTGAAGACAGGTTTACAAAATGAGTATAAAAACAGATAAAATTTGCATTGGCCTATAAGATATAATAGTGTAAAGCTCTCTCATTGGTATTAAAACCAGGATCAAACTTCAAAACTAACCATTTGTCTTAATGGGTGGTGAGGGAGTTTAAATCTTCTTGTCACCTTAAATCAGGTCTATTTGATTACTCACTGGCACCAAATCTTCCCCAGCTCCCAGTGGTTAAGCCTGATTTGCTCAGAGGTGGGCAGGGGTGGAAGATTATTCTCTTCCTGGGGTCAGCCCAGGAACGTTGGTGTTTGCTGTCAAGACTGCCAAACATCTGAAGAATTTCTTGTCTTGCTTCATTTGTCTGGCTCTTTAGAGCAAGGGAACATTATTGCACCATTCATCATGTGTGAAATAGCAGCAAAGGCTATTTGCTTGATGCAACAGTTTTGTTTGCCTCTTTGTGCTGATGCTGGGTTGAGCTGCAGCCACCAGTCTAAATCTGGTCCAAATCCACTAGCGTGGAGACACCAAAGCTGACTTCTGTCACCCCAACAATGACATCAACCCTCAGCTCATTGGTTGCTGACTGTCAGGCCATCCTTTCTATGCCGCAACACTAGTGAGGCAGAGGGATTCAAAGGGGTACCAGTCAACCCGTGTAAGATGGATTGTTAACTAATACCTGCTGATGTTTATTTTGGAGGCCAGTTTGTATCAGAAGGCAGATTCTGAACTGAATCTGACCTGATATAACTGTAAAATGAGGCCTTAAAATAAAAATGGGTTTTATTGCAATATAGAACTAATGCACATGCAATAATAAATAATAATAATAATAAGTTGAAGAAAGAAAAAAAAATGTTTGCCAGACTTGGTGCAAATGTTAGTTGCATCAACTTATTCACTTTCAAAAAGTTAAATTCATAGTTTCCTGTTTAAATAGTGTAGAATAGTCAATGCATATTTACAAGTTACATACACTGTCTCTCTTCCTGGATTCTAAATATGATGTGGCAAATAAACCAAAGGTTCATGTCATTTTTAAACATAGGAAAGAGAAAAGAACAATTAACTGGGGTATAGCAGGACATAAGATGCTACAGTGGAACATAACTACAATTTTTTGCCCAAACGTGTCCATATCCAAAGCTGGTGAAATCAAATTTGTAAACTGGAAAAATTTCTTTACTTAACATACAGCTATGATAATTGCTAACATTAAAAATTTTTTTTTTTTCTCTTTATGCATTATGGTATTTGAAACACCTTTATCCTGATAGTGAGAATTATAAGTGTTGGATGCTGTATTTGAGAAATGGTTCAACACCAAATATTAAAAATTCTCAAAAGGATATTTGATTCATTACTTTATTAGTAAAAAAAAAAGATTTAATTTTCAAAATCATTTAATTGTTGTCTAGAAATGAATGCTTCACATTATTATAAATATTCCTTTCCATTTAACCATCATTATGTCATAGTATTCTTATAACAATTCATTTAAGGTATGATATTTTATCGCTTTTTCAAATGTTTCTGTGCATAAAAGATGAAAAAAACTGTGGAAAATAATATCAAGCAAAACTCTTTAAATGGTATGTACTTATATAGCGCCTTTATTCAAGTTAGGAGACTTGACCAAAGCGCTTTACACTACATTCATTCACCCATTCACGCACACACTCACGGTGGCAAGCTACATTGTAGCCACAGCTGCCTTTGGGCTCACTGACAGAAGCGAGGCTGCCGTACACTGGCACCACCGGGCCCTCTGACCACCATCAGTAGACAATGCAGGTGAAGTGTCTTGCCCAAGGACACAACGACAATGAAGGTCGGAGTCGGGGCTTGAACCGTCAACCCTTCGATTTCAGGGCAAACTCCCACATCCAACGCCACTGTCGCCCCAAGAAACCTGCTAAAGGAAAACAAAATCAACACAACAAATAATGCACAGAAACAATTTAGGAACCTTAAAAAAGAACATCCACAAGGTTGTGGAGCAAATTTCAGCAAGAGTTGATCTTGAATTGTGTATCGGTGACTGTGAAGAACACTGATTAAGAGAATATTTGACATCTATCAATTCTATTAATTATTTTACTGTATGGTTTTTCATATGATTCACACCTCTGTATATAAACATAGGCATATACGTTTTTTTTTTTTTTACAATCATCACACAGCTTGACTTCTAACTCATAAAACACCTGCTGTCTTGTTTATATTTGGGAAATATCTTATAATTTATGAGTTTTTTTTTTAACCAAAAAAAGACAATAATGTTTTCCTAATTTTCTCATCTTTCTTATGATCTCTCTTTCAACCTTAATCCACAAACATCACTCATAAACCCCCCCACCACAGGTTCCCAAATAACCTTTCTCTCTCTCTAAGTCTCTCTCTCTAATCCTAATTTGCACACAAGAAGTTTGCAAAAGGCCAGCCTGAGACAAGAGGAAAGAGACCTGCAGGTCAGACGAGGTTATTGGGGAATAACCCCTCATCCAGAGTTAGGAAAGGATAATCTGGATTAGGGGTGGAAGTTTCTTATCTGATCTAACTTCGCTTTCCCGCTTTGCTTTTTAATTTGCAACCGATGCTCCTAAAGAAACAACTTTGACAAAAAACAAAAATTATAAAACATTTATAAACATAAAATGAGAAAAAGTTAAACATAAATCAATGTAAACTATTCTTACACCTCTAGTTTCGATTCACATCTGGACGCAACAAACCAATCTGCTTTTGTGGCGCAAATTTAGCGGAAATACGGTCTTCTGATGTACTTCCAATGCCGTATGTTCTGAAATATGCAACACCTTTAATTTAGCGCATCTGTGTGAGTTTCAGAGCGATCCGCCTTGATTCAATCACTGCTTAAACAACACATTACTTCCTATTACACATTTTGACGCCTCACCGGCCCAATGATCCATTTTAATTTCTGCTAATCCTCGCAATCAGCTCTGCGATAGATATCTTATGTAAACTTTTACTTAAGGTGGAATTCTAGGGATCAGTGTTACAACTTTCCTATAGGATTAAGCAGATCTTCCTCTGCTGCTGAATGGAGGCAGGGGAGCCACCGTTGCCCGGCCCTGAAGGCCCAGGGTGCCCTTTTGATCATTTCAGTCTCTCCTCGGTGCAATACTCCTGATTGGCCAGGGAACTATAAAGGGGGGAAAATCTTTAATTAAGCAGATAATCTCTTGTTGGGAAGAGAGCGGCTCCATTTCAGAGCCCCCTCCTTGAATCCTGGTGGAGTTCCCAGTCTCCTCTGCATCCCTGGTTCTGAGCACAGCTATACCCCTTACCTGTCAGGATGTTTGTCCACTGGGAAGTTTGCTTCTACGTTTTCATTCTTATGACTCACATGAGGTTCTACTGCTGCTGGTAAGTTCTCTTTATAACATAATATTATAGCTTTATTATCCAAATAATTAATACCAACTAGTTAACTGTCTCATATGTGTCCTTGAATGCAAAAATCACAGAAATCAGACATATTTCTGGATTTATTAAATCAGTTTTAAGTTTTCTGTATGGAACAACTTCTACAGAGAACAAGGTTGGTGGTAAATAAAAAAAAAAAAAATAAATAAATCAAACTGAACAGAATTTATGGGGTTGCCAATTCGCTCATTATCACTGAAAAAAGTTACTTGATTTAAAAATTGCATATAAAGGCCTACAAAACCTTTTTACTTTGCATCTTGTAAGAAAGATTTATTACTAAACAATCTCAATCCAACTGAACTAGCCAACTGATATGATATTATAGGTATATTTATAAAATTGAAAAAATAATTGCTGTATGATAACTTATTTTTGGTGTAATGAAAGTAGATTTTAGATATTTTCTCATTTATCTCAACCTGATGGGGTCTTGATACCAAGAAAGCCTTGCTTATTTTTGTTTGCTTTTGCAAACAGAATTACTGTTTCAAACTGTTTTTTAAATAATCTCAGTTTATTAGAAACACACCAAGGTACCAATTAAGATACGGAAGACTTTAAACAGAAAAGGATCAATTGCAGCCCAGACTCCTTAAAAAAACAAATATTTTATTCATTTCACTCTGTGTCTCATACAGCAGCTGCAGCATTGTATTAATATGCACCGAGATTATTATCTAAGGGAAAATAAATTAAATTCTACATTTCCTACTTAAAGTTTTTGTCTCTCCACTACGGCCCTTAGCAGAAAGCCGTGCGCATCATTTACATTATCACTGCTGCACTTTTAAAAATAAAAATGTCTTGAGAGCTTTACTGAACGAAATTTCTTTTTGTATCCACTCTGAGTACAAAATGATAATAAAGTCTGTCTAAGTCTATTCCTTTAATATGTTAGAATCAGGCTGTTTGAACCTGCGTCTGATTATAGTTATGTATTAGCTCTAAATACTTGATTCTACGTTTCTATGCAGTCAGAAACAGTTACGTCCTTGTTTTTCTTGTAAAGAACATCTAGATGATGAAATTTGCTGTGAACTGGTGCTGCTTAAATTGGCTGATTTTAAATAAGATTAGAGACTAAATCTAGTTCAGTTGATGTGTGATTCCATTATGCAGCTTCTTTCAAGCAGATCCATTTGACTGGCAAAAAAGGATAAAAACAAATGCTTGCCTTTCTTTAAGCGCAGCCTGGAAGCATTTAAACGCATAACTCAGTGCTGTTCACAGAGATATGGATGTCCACATGGTATCCCAGTTTCACATGTCCATAAGCACACTAATGAGAGATGCTAGTGAAGGAATTTGTGGTGGACACTGAGCTTTCCTGACTGAAATAAGCTGTCTCCTTTTCCAGGTCAGTGAATAATTTCCTGATGACCGGACCCAAGGTAAGCCAGGCTTCTTTTGATCTTCCCCTCCTCTTTTTTCCTTCAGTGAAAGAGAGAGATAAACCTCTTCTTGTATTATCTTAACTCAAGTGTATTGACAAGCTCTGGTTGCCAGTCTGTATAGAACAAAAGCACTAAATCAGTGATATTCTTGGCGCCTTGTGATATTTTTTTCTCCTACCTTTTTGGTACACTTGACCTTATTTGCCAGCTCTGTGTATTTCCAATGGTTGAGTGTGTTAAAAAGCCAGGGCAGGCAGCGCTGTTGTGGGTGGTCATCATTAGTGAGCCGGATCCCTGTGAAAGAGGAGGTACTCCATCTCCCTGAAGGCCACTTGAGACATATTAGTTATATTATCATTCATGCAGTCTGAACAGGCTGTAGAGCAGCAGGCCAAAGCCAAGCCCAGAGTGTAGAGCTCTGAGAAAAACCTTTAGCTCATTGAGCTTATATTGCAGAAAGAGATTTGTGTTTTCATTCATTTTTTTCTCATTTAGTTTTATTTATTAATTAAATGTCTCAAGATAAACATCTTCAAAGGAGGTGTGTTATTTTTCTAGTTCCTTTAAATGTGGTTTAGATTAAATCTATTTTAATCAAGAAAAATCCAATTTTAATTGATGGAAAACTATAAAAAATGCTAATCAAAGTTACATTTTATTTACTCCTAAAAGTTAAGTTACTGTGCTAAATGTAATGTATGCTTCGTAAGCAGAAAGTAAAGGAAAATAGTGATCAAAGATTGAGTCCTCCTCAAAGAGTGCGTTTCTGTGCTCCATCTGTTGACCTTCCTGCCTCATGTGCGAGGCCTGTATTGTGGTTTTATGCCTGTAATATCCTGTCATGTCTGTGCCTCTGCTGCAGGCGTACCTGATTTACTCCAGCAGCGTTGCAGCAGGAGCTCAGAGTGGCATCGATGAATGCAAATATCAGTTTGCATGGGACCGCTGGAACTGCCCCGAGAGAGGTCTGCAGCTGTCCACACACAGCAGCCTGCGCAGCGGTAAGAGCACCCACTGGCTCTTTCCAGACATTTAAAATCAGTTTTGTGGCTTTATTTTATGTATTTATTTTGTTGTGGTGCCATTCTGTAAGTGCTATCATTGTTTGTTGAGAAGTAATTAATTTTTTCATTTGTCAAAAAAAAAAAAAAAACAGTGCTTCAACCCTGAATAAATTGTGAAAAGCTCAAAGATATTTTTAACAGTGAAAAATGTACTGAATATCTGATGTCCCAATAAATTCCACGGCTGGAATTATGAAATGCTTTTAACTTTTTTTTTTTTTTTTATATCCCTGGGAAGCCTATGATGGCAAATAGCCATGTTTTGAATCATCAAAATATTTTAACTCTTCACTATTATGTTATCCTTATACATTTTTCTAAGGTCCATATTGTGTGACCATTTTGATCTATAATCTTTTTGCTGCTGTAAACACCAGAATTTCCTTATTGTGGGACACTAAAGGGATTTTCTATTCTATTCTATTCTATTCTATTCTATTCTATTCTATTCTATTCTATTCTATTCTATTCTATCAAAACTATCAATATTATAAGGGATAATTCATTTCTGTCTTTTTTTGGTAATTTTTATAACACATATATAATTTTAGAAATAGTTGGAAAAAAAACCCTATGAAGACATGACCTTTAAAAAAATGAACAAGTTCCATATAAATGTATTAAAGTCTATTTTCTTGTAATGTGTTGAGTGGATTAAAAGACATACTGTAAAAGAATAGAGTGAGTACTTTTGCCACAAAGATCATCTTTGCAGGAAACACAAGAGAGCTGAGATGTCTTGTGCAGGGAGTAAACAGCCAGACCACCAAGGGCACTATTGTTTGTTCGCATAAAATTGACCAGGGAACTAAATACGTTGTTTTAATATTTTTAAAAATATATATTTTTAATAATCTAACAAAAGATATGCAGATGTGGTTAATTTTTAATTTTTTTTTGTGCTAGTACAACATCTGGGGCCTGATATATTGAGCTGGGTAACGCACATTAGAACAGAGCCTGGAAGTTGTATATGTCACTTTTCACTCAGAGGTTGAGTCTACAAAAAACAAAGATGCTTTGGAAATGTGTGGCCTCTCACACAAAACGACCCATACATTTTAAATGACAGGGAAAGTTAAATAATATAGTTATATAGAGATTATTCTTCACGTGACTGTTTATTAAAGATCTAAGATAATCCACTTATCTATAGTGGGATTAGGAATTTTTATATAATAGAATATAGAAGGGTAAAGTAGCCAGACACTTTCCCCATATTTCAGACAGCCTGATGGGCAGCTTCTCCAGATTTTTTGGCTTTTTCTACTTTTAATTCTAAAATATAATTGCAATCTGTTGCTTCTGGTAATAAAACATAGGTGTTAAACATATTCAACAATTAATCAGCTCTCTGCCTGACAACTTTAAGGAGCAAAATAAAAGTGAATTTATCCATTTATCCATGCCTCAATATGTCATGGTTCCTTAGATGTCCTTGTAAATGTGATCACTCCATTAACCAGGCTCTTGTTGCCATTTAAATGACTTCCTTTTATGTGTCACCCCACTACTGAAGCTGCCAAACACATTGATAACTCTCCACCTCAGTCACCAATACACCTACTGTATCTCTGCCTCATTTAAACTGCACTTTTTTACGCACTTCTGTGCGGTTGCCATTGGTAACCATAAAAAAACAATGATCAGCTGTCTCATTCAAATACACAATGACATTCATGCAGTGCTTTGCATGGTCCATTTATGGTTGAATAGGGGCATTAAGGTGAAGCCTTGTGCACACAGGTGGGATTTATCAAAACATTTACTTGTTTTTTTGCATGTGCATGGTTTGATAATCAGAAATATATTTTGCATAGAACATTTTGTAGCTTTTGCGGATCTGTACGCCTTTAGTATAGATCATCTGCAAGCTTTACTGATGCCTGAAGACCATAATAAACCATTAGCTGCTATTTTTATAGCTATTTCTGTAGTTCAATCCTCAGGAAGTTAAACACAGCTTGATTTGGTGGTGAAATGTGAGAAATTTAAAAGTATTGTGTGGCTCACTTATACAGAGGAGGCTACTCTGATGATACCAGATGTTTCTGTGTTTAAATAAAAATAACAATGCTGGTTTGAACCAGAACAGAATAACTTATGCAAGAAAATGTGTATATTAAATCCCAGTTTTTTGTCACTTGTGACAGTGGTGAAGTATGCACAGACTGGGCCCAATGCAAAGCACTTTTCAATGTTCCAGCACAAGTTCAGCTTCATTTAAGTCTCTTTATCCTGACACTGCTCTCCTCACTATGTCACTCTATATATAAGGCTTCTTATTACCTTTAAATTTGAGGTTGAAGCTCATTTATTACAACACAAGCTGGGCATTGTTTACTGCATCAGTGCCCAGGTTTGAAGTCTGAAACTAGGGTTATGCGTCTCGGGAAACCTTTGCCTGCATCCTTGTCTTTTCTGTTTTGTTTAAGCATTTTTACGGGTTGCTTAATTGTGCCTTAAAATTGACATCAGACAGATTTCTCATTCCTAAGAAAATATAAATTTGACAAAACTAAACTTGGGGTTAGATTTTATTATTTCTAACCAATTACCGGTATCATTACAGAAAGAACATATTTGAACGTTTTATTTTCTGTCAACAGCAAATCGAGAAACTGCATTCGTCCATGCCATCAGCTCTGCTGGAGTGATGTACACCTTAACCAGGAACTGCAGCCTTGGAGACTTTGACAACTGCGGCTGTGATGACACCAGAAATGGACAACGAGGTCAGAGACTGGGATGGATTTGTATATATGTATCAATAAGATGCGTTGTGCTTAAAAATAATCCTTATTCTTGTTCCTTTGTCCATGTCAGGTGGTCATGGCTGGCTCTGGGGAGGCTGCAGTGATAACGTTGGATTTGGTGAAGCCATCTCTAAGCAGTTTGTGGATGCCTTGGAGACTGGACAAGATGCTCGGGCGGCCATGAACCTTCACAATAATGAAGCTGGGCGGAAGGTAGTCCTCTGAATTCCCTCCAATAGTTGTGAAATTAAGGATATACCAGCAGCATAGGAGGCTGAGGGGGCCTTAAATAGAGCCAGTTTGTTAACTGGAGGTCAACCTGGTTGAAATTTTGGTCTTCAAACCATGTGCATAGTGTAAAGCCCCCTTTGAATAATTTTTTTTTATCCCTGCTCAGCATTACACTGAGTGTGCCACCCAAGCATCCCTTTCAGATCTCTAAGTGAGGTGCCACTCGTCTCCAATAATAACAGTGTGTTCGGTGTACCAGAAGGGCCTATTTACCAGCGCTGAATGCACCTTATGACAATACCTAAGCTCAAGAATCTCAGGATGGCTGGTGCAAGCTTAATTGGAGATCCTGGGGAGCCAGACATTGCAAAGCATTCTGTATTATCCCACTTCCTTAAAATAAGTGTTTTAGTTTTTATTCTTGCAATAAGGATCCCACATTTATGTTGGTCTTTGTCTGGCCCTCGGGGAGCCTGAAGGGACCACAGGAGTGCAACTGAAGTGCTCTTTGTTTATGGTGCCTTTGCTCCCCCCTGTAGGGCCCTGGGATCCTTATGGCACCTGGAGCATCATTGTAACAGAAAAAAATGGGGATAGAAAGAGAGAAAAAAAATCCTTTTTTTTATTCCTCAACTCAATAGGACTCTCCGTTGGGTCTCTACTCGCAGGAAAACATGTTGACAAGGGACATGCTAAATAAATACTCCTATTTATTCAGGGGGGGACAATGGGACTCGATGTGAAACTTTGATTCAGCCTCACCTCAGTGCAGAGTTCATCACCTCTTTATGAAAACAAAGCACCCTTCCTTTTTAACAGACATCTGTTTTGTGTCGGGTAAAGTCAGGCGACACAGAAGATGACAGCGACGCTGCAGACCTTGAAGCTGCCCTCTGTTCAGTGCATTCATTCTTTTTCAGTCATGTCGAGAGTTTCGACAATACAGATTGTTAATTTGACAACAAATCAGTAGACAGATGCAAGTTCAAATTCACACCCATATGCTCACCTTCCTCTGCATGTAGATAACATGTACTGTACCATCTGAATGGATTTGTAGGAGCTAAGATTTGCATAATGTCTGAGAACAAGTTTCATCAGATTTCATTAGGATTTTATGGGATTCATAAAAAGAAACAGGAAAAAAGTTTTTTGAAAGATTTTTTTTTTTTTTTACAAATAGACATCTGAAAAAAGTGGAATGAATCTGTTATTTACACTCCAAATAAAATGTCCATTCTGCTTTGCAAAATAACCTGAGCTGTTCCATATTACAATGACAGCATCTGTAAACTGTAGTTTCCAAGTCCTGCTTAGATTTTTTTTATAGTATTTAGATCTGGACTTTGACTAAGCCACAGTATCACATGGGTATGCCTTTATCCAAATAATTTCACTGGACTGCTTAGCGTCCTTGTCTAGCATGGATGTTAACTTCCAAAGCCTCAAATATTTTGCAGGCCTTATTTAACCATTAACCCATATTCAACTTAATCAACCTTTGATGAATAAAATACTCTCCACAACATTATGCTGCCCTCATCTTGTTTGATTTATACATCTGCTTAAACTGTTCTAGCTGGTGTGCAGTTAGTTTTATACTGCAGTGTTCTGCAAGTTGGATATTGTTTTATTACCTAACCTGTGTCATTCATTCCTCAAGCTACATGTTGTAGTTGGCTCATAATTTTCTTCCACGAACCTTCGAGATCTTAAGAGAACAGCTGTGTTTATACTGATATTAAATTATACGTTATTTGAATGTGTTTACAAATCAGGAAAGTTTTATTTAGGTGCAACCAGGTAGAGCTAAATGAGTTGTAATTGTACTTGCAGAAATACATTTGAAATTGTTCACTATCTCCTTACCTCTTTACCATAATAAGGTATTTTGATTATGATTGTAGCGTGGTAAAATGTGGATAAGCTTAAAGGGAGAGAGCACTTCTGCAAGGGACTTCAGACCTTGAACTATTGTAAAAAAACAAAACAAACATTGCATGTACATCCAAATATTTGTGTACACATAAAGTTTTTACTGCACTAAATGATTTATTCTGAAAGGTATAAATCTTCTTGAACTTTATTGATAATTTCTTCCAAACACCCCACAAATAAAACACTAAGGAAAATAGGTATAAAATATACACCGTGATGTAATCAATGTCTTTAAAATCTAGTGAACTAGAGGAACAAGATCATGATTTGCGTCTTATCTTTTTTGTGTTTGAAGGCTGTGAAGGGGACCATGCAGAAGACCTGTAAGTGCCACGGTGTTTCTGGGAGCTGCACCACTCAAACCTGCTGGTTGCAGCTGCCAGAGTTCAGGGAGGTTGGGAACTACTTGAAGGAGAAGTACCACAAGGCCTTGAAGGTGGATCTCCTCAGAGGAGCTGGGAATAGCGCAGCCAGCCGTGGGGCCATTGCAGAGACCTTTAACTCCATTTCCCGCAAGGAGCTGGTTCACATCGAAGACTCGCCTGACTACTGCCTGGAGAATCGTACACTGGGCCTGCCTGGCATGGAGGGCCGCGAATGCTTGAAGAAAGGCAAGAACCTAAACAAGTGGGAGAAGCGGAGCTGCAGGAGGCTGTGTGGAGAGTGTGGGCTGGCTGTGGAGGAGCGCAAAGCCGAGATGGTGTCAAGCTGCAACTGCAAGTTCCACTGGTGCTGCGCGGTGAAGTGTGAGCAGTGCAGAAAGACTGTGACCAAGTACTTCTGTGTGAAGAAGGGAGGTAAGAGGGGAAGGTATGAAAGCGCCACCATTCGCCGAAAAAACCTCAGGCTGAGGAAGAAGCACTGAGCATCTCCGTCATTCCTCCACATGCATCCATCTCTTCTAGTCTCTGCAGCTCCATCAAACATCTGGACTCTGCAGATGACTTCTTCCAGAATCAAAAGTGTCACGCTTCTTTTTTATGTTAAAACCTTTTTTCCAAAAATGAGCAGAGTCTCATGATAAATCAGACAACTTTGTAGATTTGTTTTAGCCTAAATGTATTTAAAAGATATATTTTTATATTTTTTCAACATTTTGTAAAGTAACATGGCATTGAAAAGGTTCTCATTAACTTCACATTATTTATTCTCATACTTTTACAAAGAAAAATATATAGATAATTTGGTGCAACGGTTGTTCTGAAATCCTCACAAACATTCGATCAGCTCTGAAATATATTTTTTAAAACAAATATGCCAATATTTTTTTTTCTTTATCTTGCCCCATCACTTAGCTCACCCTGACCTTACTTTCTTGATGTATTTAATTGTAAATAAAAATGAAGCACTTTGTACTGTATATTGTTAATTTATTGCACAGCATTTGTTTTCTAGTTTTGCTTTATTGTTAGTGTCCTTTTTTTCATTTCCTCTCTATTAAAATGTAATGAAAGAATAATAAATCCTTTAATAGTGCATATCATTCAGGCTGAAGAAAGTACTCATCCTTCTTTAACATACTCTTTGTGACATGAATACTTCACAGTTCGGAGCAAACAGCCTCACTTTTCACTCTGCTCCCACTGTGGCGAACCTAAGAGAAAAGAAAGCCATCCAGCAAACTCGCCTTCCTTCACGCCTTTCTCAATTACGCCCCAACAAATACCTCCCGTTCTCTCCTTCATCATGGTAATCCTCGTTGAGCGCTTGGAAGTTCCTTCACTGTTTAATACTAGTTTAATTAACTTTGTCCAGACAGAGCAGGGCCTTGGGGGTGGAGGGCATGAAGCAAGTTGCCCCTAAAAAATCATTCTGCCTCTAATTTTGTATGCTAATCTCCTTTTTCACGCTGCACCTCCTCAGGAGTTGGGTGGGGGGAGAAATGTTGGGAAAACTTTGGGTCTGCCTGTGCTAGGCTTCCTGCGGCTGTTTTCTTTCTTGGCCCACCTATTTGGATCTGGATCCTTTCACTCCTCTAGGGCCTTCCTTTGCTCGATTTAACAATGAATGCAGAGCTAATCAGCTCTCTCGGAAATGCACCACTGTCGAAGAAGGTAATCCCTTCTTCTCTCCTCTCAATGGGCCGTCGCCTCCTAAAGAACTTTGGGAAAAGGCTTTGCACAGATTCACACTGTTCGCTCAAAAGAAGTTAGTTCAAGTATTGTGCCAACACAAGTGAGTTTTATAAACACATGCTTGCCAGGACACTCACCCCACCTGCACGTAAGAAGTGGCAGCCAGAGTGAACCTGCACATGGCAGCCAAAGCTGAGACCCTTCAGACGAGGAGGAGACATGAAAGGAGAGATTAGAGGTCCCTTTGAGAAGGGGGCGTTCATTTCTGCACCTTCCTCCTTTTACACATCCAAGTGTCAAGGCTACACCTTGTTGACATCTTATTTACCAAATAATGATCATAATCGGAACTCTCCTCTCCTCTGATGACCCCGTTGGGCCGACTGGACTGCTCTGCCAGGGGAGGCGACCTACCAACAAAGGAACCCTGTAGCACTGTAGAACGTCAACAAACTGTTGTGTTAGAGAAAACAGCAAATGAGCCAAAGCTTCTTTCAGCACCCTGATGAGGGATGTTAAACTAAAGTTAGAGCAAACATTCTGAATTCAGCTCATCAAAGCCGCTGTGTATGTGGCAACTGTCCAGAGACTTGCATTACAGTGCTTTAGATGAATGTCTGTTCTCTTATAAAGCTCATTCTGAATGTTTCACATCACTGAATCAATTATAAAGTAAAACTGAGTTTATAAGTAAATAAAAACAAGGTTTTAAAAGACTATTTAATCTATTAAAGAAAAAAATCCAAAGAAACCTAGCTCTAGGCAAAACGGACTGTCCTAAAAACCTATTAGCTGCTTGTGTCACCTCTAGACGTAACATCTGGCAGAATGCATTTCTACTAAACTGAGAGAGATGTGATAATTCACATGCAGTGAGCTTGCTTTGGATAACTTGTTCTCTTAATAAATAAAATTATTTTTTTTGTGGGATCTATACATTTTCTACTCTTTCAGAGTAGATGAAAATGTGGGCACACACGAACGATTAGCATGTGAGTCGGCCTGTAAAAGGGTTCCTATGCATAAGGCAAGTTAAAGACATTGTAAACCCAAATAAGGCCTTAGTTTGATAGTTTGAAGAATTCATTGCCTTTTAAGAATTTTTAAGGATCCGTGGGAACTCTGTGTGTTCTGTATTGTACTGTTTCAAGTCATAGGAATCTGTTTCTAAGTGTTAAAACCTGTAAATGATTCGATGCTGATGGCTAATTGTTGCAGTGAGTTGCAATTGCAAGACGTGTAGACGAATAATTGGTTCATTCTTTAGGTTTTGGAGCTAACTGGCTTAATAAATTAACCTCAAACTGGTTTGGTACTAGATTGCATTTAGGCAGCCAACATATAGAAAAAATACTTTAAAAGACTCAATGTCTGCTTCCAGGGATGCAAAATATAAAGAAATTAGGGCCTTTTGCATATTACAGGATTTTTAAAACAACTTTCTGCTCATTTCAGACATTTTGATCTTAGGCTTCTTCTTTTCCTAAGATGAAAAAGGAATCTTGATCATCTAACCTTTGTAAGTAATATCCACCATTGCCTTTTCTTGTGTTTCCCTTCAGTTTTTTTCCCTTCTGCAGTAAAAAATAAATTCCCAAATCTTAATTGTATGCAGTGTTCACACTGTTATAACCTTGCAAGAAAAGGAGGTAGAAATTAATGAACCCGTGAGACATAACATAATGCTGATCATGACTCAAATGCACAATCTACCCCCCAACCATCCTACCACTCCCCACCCCAACCCCAGAGCGTGACATGACCTCTGACCTTGGGGTCCAAACTTCCGTCTCCCAAGCTGGTCCTGCCGTGTCCAATCTTTAAAGACACGTAAGTGTGAGATGATGGGAGGAGAGGAGTCAAAACCAGAGGGACCCAAAGACTTTCAGTCAAATTGTTAACAGATTTGACTCTCCATTTTAGTCTAACATCATGATAGATGTTATAATGTTGTCTGATATTGCTCAGAAAGTCTAAGGGACAAGACATAATATGTTCATATTTATCAATGTAAGTGATTCTTTAAAATGTAAGGCAAAAAAAAGGCAACCCCCCCCCCCAAAAAAAAAAACAACAAAAAAAAACAAAAAACGGAGAACTTCTATCTTTCAGGTAATTGGTGATAATTTTACGGTGGAAGCTGGGAATAAGACTCATAATCCCTCCCAGAATCCTTGACTAATGGGATTTATGAGTAAGAGGTTTTAGACCCACAACACCTCAAGGGGCGAGGGTCAGTGTGAATGTAAGAGAAAGCAGATGAGTACAGATGAAAAAGCACCTGCAGGAAAAAAGCTATCTTTTAAAAGATGCATGGGTTTTATAATTCTCCATTTTCAGCAGTTCTCTGAGACATGCTGATGGAAAAAGGACAGCAGAGGCACATTGGTTTATTGCAATCTGCAGAGTGGAGATCTAAGCCTCTTGAGCCTCGCTGGGGTGTCCTACCTCCTAGTTAGATATCTCCAAAGAATGAGGGTGAGGGGAATCAGCTCTTCTCAGGTCACCTCACTGATATGCACAGGAAACACTGGGCATGGGAACCCATCAGGGAGCCTAAGTGTGTGCCTGCAGTTTAAATCTGCACATTAATCCTTATGTTAGAGAAAACACACATGACCTGCCATCAAGTGCTGTTAAATCCCTAAAACAGAGATGGTGCATGCTTATTTTATCCCCAACAGATCAAAACTGCAAAGTGGCAATGATCAAAGCTACTGATGCGTCACCTCTACATCAAAGCCAGTGTGATATTCAGAGCAGGGCTTCAGCTGTTAATCAGGCCACTGGAACAAGGTACAGGGCGTCCATCTCTGTGATCACATGGACAGTGATTAAACAGTAATGCCAGGGCTGTGATAACCATGAGTAAATATTGGATCAAGGTGTTTGCTTAGGTTTTTTTTTTTTTTAAACCAAACATTTTTATCCAAAAATAGACATAGCTTGGTTTGAGCCTACCAAACTGAATGATGAAACTAGATATTCTGCAATGTCATTTGTTTTGGCTCATGTGTCATGAGTCGGATTTTATTTACTTTTTAAATCCTGCCCGATCAATTAAAACGTGTTTATGGGTGTGTTCTTAGAGAATTGTTGAGTAAATGCTGGTTTCATCTTCATTAAAGCTGTATTTTAATACATAAATACACATATTCCCAGACCTTGTCTTTTGAGCCACTCCAGCTCATTTTAACTCCCTCTGTATCAGATCTACAATGCATAAAAAAAAAAAAATCTACAAGTCATTCTTCTTTGCATGTTAAGGTAACGTTTTACTGTGATCCCTGGCTTTTGTTGCAGATCTGTTTTTTCCCCTTGTTTCCTTTTTTCCTAAACTTTCATCTCTGAGGTACATTTTTTTGTACTGTATTCTAGGTCACAGCACATTTTCATCCATTTTTTTTTTTTTTTTACAAATAAAGACAAAAAAGTGAGGCTTATATATTCCATGTAATCCCCTTTAGTCTAATATGCTAAATATAATGTAGGGAATCAAATGTTAACAAATGAAAAGCTTCTGTGTCATTCTATTTTTTCAGCAGAAATACTGTTTTTCTGCCAGCAGGTTCGCTGAGAACATTATTAAATGAAGCAATGATAAAGTAGTGGAGACGAATATAGTGGACTGATGGAAGGCTGTTTAGTTAATCATTCTCATAAGGAGATTCTGCGCCACACAAGACCTACCAGCACACAGCCATCCATTCAGACAGATCACAACCTTTTCTAAACTTTTATGTAAAAAAAAATTTCAAAAGTTGAAATGTTCAAACTTATTCTCAAGGTTTAAATGTTCGGTAATTCTGGAGACTTCCCCTGACTCATCACAAAGTGCTTCCAGGATAAACATAGTTGCTATCATTAGTCTCTGTCTGTGGTGAACACCATCAGAAATATACATCGTTTTCCTTTCCACTTGCTCTGGGAGGTGTCAAGATGGTTATATTTTTAAAGTCAAATTGGAATTTTAAATTTAAATAGTACCTTTAAGGGCCATGCCTGAAACTCAGACACATTCCAACTATCTGTTCCAACAGTTTTCCAGATTTAAAATCATAAAGTTCACAGTTTTAAGCGAATTGTTTAAGTATAAAATCATATTTACAGTTTAAAATAGGGCAGATATTTTTCTAACTGTGGTCAGACATGAAATCCGGACCAACATAGGTTGAAACAAAGAGCAAGAAGTAATGTAGGGATGGATGGAGAATCTTGTATGGAGAGAGTCACATTATATACTCCAGACAGAAGGACCTCCTTTGATAAATCAAAAATACTTTTTATCTTTTTAAAGAATATTAGGTTTAATAAAATAAAAACTATTTATATTAAAAAGATTTACTAATAGTCAACTGAAGATGAAGTTTTATTGAGCAGCTCACTGCAGATCAAAGTATGATTTCTCAGGTTACTGATGAAACGGCGCCCTCTTGCGTTAGTAACTTACCACTACAGAAATGTTTTACTCAGATATTTTTTTCCACAAAAAAGCCATACCATGATGGAGAAAAATTGTGAACAGGGCAAAACTTCATTCAACAAACCAAAATAGATTAAGTTAGAAAAATCACAAGCTTAAAAAACATTCCGTCAAATGTCCATAGCAGACTGGCTAAAATAATGCACTTTTTGCAGTTTAATACATTAATGCAGTGAGTGGTATACACTAATAAGCACTAATGTTATCAAATACAGAAAGTCCTCTTTTGAAAGAGAATAATGTAACAGTTCTAAGACACTTAGACAGACTTATACAACTTTTATTGTATGAGGATGGTTGGGGCAGGTGGGCCGTCCTCATACCCCTCAGGAAGTACATGCACTTTTGTGCTCTTTTGACCAGTGAGGTCAACCAATAACCATTAATGTTATCAAATACAGAAAGTCCTCATTTGAAAGGGGATAATATTATCATTATTGATATAACAGTTATTCCTGAATAAGTCTTTTTAAATGTTGTAATAATATAAAATTTACAACAAATGAAATGTGAGTAACTTAGAAACAGTGTCTTTAGAAATTTGTAACATTTTATCAAAGCCTATCCATTTCTTAACTTTGCTAAAATGTAATTTAGCTAATTATGACAAATAGTCAGTAAAAAAAAAAAAAACAAAGAAAAAAATAAGAAAACAAACAAAGACTAATGAAATTCCTCAACAGAAATGTGAAAAATACCCAAGACTGATAAAGAGCTTTTAGTACAGAGGTGATACATAGTAGGCAAATAAAACAGTTTTTGTGGGCAATCATAGAACTGCTAAAGGGCTCAACATGAAGAGGTCATCTGAGCATCCTGCACCTAAGGGAGCCGCAGATCAGTTTAATTTGTTTGTTTGTTTTTTTCTTCTTAAAAAAACAACAACATGGGTGCAAGAAAACAGTCTTATACAGCTGTACCACAGTCTAAACTGATGCTCCCCAGCTTAGTTTTCACATGTGAGCTCACTTTGATGTCAGCTAACAGACAGGTGTTCCTGTGGTGTGGCTTCTCAATATTACTGTCTCTAACTAGGAAGCAAACAATGTTAGATAAAAAAAAAAAATACAGATGAGAACAAAACACATTCTGATTCATAATCATCTATTATTAGCTTTATAATTTAACATCAGTAATTTTTCATGCGATTGGTTTAAACAATCCCTGCAAAATGCTAACATACAGTATCATGCGGAGTTGCTTCTGCTTTTGCCTGAGAGTAAAAAGTATAAAAAGGATCTGAATGCACCAAGCAGTTGCAGTTCTTGGCCAAATTTACCAGGGGTGCGGCAGGGTCGGCACCAGGTTTTTTTTTTCTTCTAGGATTGCCCATGAAATCATTTGATTGTATCAAAAGGGCTGTGTACATCTACACCTTATGGAGGAAGGACATTCTTTTGAGGACCAGAATGTTCACATTTTGGACAAAGAAGACAGGTGGTTTGAAAGGGGTGTGAAGGAAGCCATTTATGTAAAGAAAGAAAAAAACAACCTTAAACAGACGGTGTGGACTTATGTTTCAGCTTTCAAAAACCTACAATGCAGCAGTAGAGCTGATTCCTTCCCACTCTCATCGAAATCCCTCACCCTCATACAGGGGACAAATCATCTTGGCTGTTCAGCCAGGCCAACAATTCCCTCCAATGACCCCTCTTTCAAAGGCATAGACCAGTATTAGGCATTGCACGCTAACAAAGAACCCAAACAACTCCCCATTTCTAACAGGGCGGACCCGTTCTTCCAGTTCAATTTGCATGTTTTCTAAGCCAAAGCTTGGTCCACTCTATAAAGCAGAGGTCACAGATTAGCCGACTGCGGTCCGGATCCGGACCCAACCTGTTTTAAAACATTTCTAAATTTATTAATTACGGCATGTTGTCCGACGGCAGTATCTAATTTTGCCTGCGCTGCTTCTCCTGTTTGTACGGTAAAGCCCTCCAGAGTGCCTGGGACCAGGCTACACGTGATACAAATGAGCTAATGGGCTGCTGTCAGTCAAGACTGCTGGTGAAAGCCACTTTAAGACACAGCAGGCAACCCTGTGGCAAGCTGGGAGGTGGGAAAGAGGGAGAAGACAATGAGAAAAAGTGAAAGAAAGTGTGGTCTGCTGGAAGAACCGCAGTGAACTGGTGAGAGAAAAGTGAAATGGCGTGCTCAAAGATGACCCTGCACATTTTGAGTATGTTTGGCTCAACTTGCTGCTGTGAAGCAGGATTCCGCACCATGACTATAATCAAAAATAGAAATCGATCCACCTTGATATGTGCTTGAGAATGACTGTCGCCATTCAAACCCAGGTTTAAAGCCTTGCAGGGCAGGCTAAAGCCTGCTGATTTTTAATGGGTTACTCCCTGCTCTATAACCACCACTGTTCCCGCAACCTCAGTAAGTCATTATATTCATGCTGATTTGCACAGTTTCTATCTAAGTTATTAAATTACATGCTGCTGCCATTTTGCACATCTCTGTTGTTGCTGCTTTTTTCAAATAACCATTACTATAAAAATGTCCATAGCTGTATATTGGTTATTTATTCTCCATATGCACAGTTTCATATTGATAAAATTAACAGTACATCTTCACTAGTATGTTATTCTTATACATTTTCTAGGGTCCACATTTGTGTGAGATTTTTTTAAAATAATCTTTCTGCTGCTGTAAACACCAGAATTTCCCCGTTTAGGGAATTTCTATACCATTCTATTTTTCAGTATTATAATTATGGGGAGAACCTGTGTGACCCGAGACGCTAGAGGGCGCTGTAGAATATTGGTGGCCTTCATTTATGAGAACGTCTTCCTGCTCGTTCAAGCTTGTGGTTTTGTTTGCTGCCTGTCACTGCAGCGTGTAAACATTCACCTACGGAGCAGAGCTGTGTCCATAGCCTCAGGGTTGACAGGAGCTCACGAATTTAATTAAATTATTAATACACGTGAGCAGGGAGGGTGGGGGGCTGTCCCAGTGGTTTCCGTCACATTAGTACTATTTATATTTAAAGGAGCAGCTGTTCCCCGCTGTCATTGTTAGGAGGACCGAGGCGAAGCAGCTGAAGCGGGGCTCGTCCTACCACCATGGCAGCGGCGACTGTTGCGGAGGCCGAGGCGGCGGCGAGCGACGGAGGAGCGGCTTTTTCCGACGTCCAGAGTAGAGGCTGGGATATTTCCCAGCTCCGAAAATACCCTTTCCCAACCAAGCCCATTCCCCGGCTGTCCTACACGGATCCCAGGGCAGAGATGCTCATAAACAACGAGGTAACTCCGCTGCAGTTAGGTGTATATATATATATAAATAAAAGTGAACCTTTCACCTGACAGCTCAATTTAAAGAAGCATAAACACGGAAATGGAAAGGTACTGATAGTAAAAGTTAATATCTATTATATTTTAGATTGAAGGAAGGGGTTAACAATGTTGACACGGTTCCTATTTAATCTAGAATTATTTTTACTTTCAGTTACAGTAAAAACTTAGGAAGGAATACATTCTGATCGTTTTTATTACTTTTTAAAAACGCCATTTGAATGACTTTCTTTATGGTTTTTAGGATTTGCCTTATGTTACGTTGGATATTTATATAGCCTTTGCTTTAAACAGGATATCTGACTCACTGTTTTAGTATAAAGCAGTTTAGGTCAAGTATTTATAGGTACTTTAACGTTAAATTTGCTTTATAATACTATACAATGTATAAAAACACTAATTACAGACCTGATCTGTGCATTAGACTGATCCCCAGACTGGAAATTACTTTACAGATTAAATCTATGCATGATAAATGAAAAAAAAAAAATACTTTAACTTAAAATATAAACTATATATTTGATGTTCCTGCTACTATTATGTCTGTGTGTGATTGGCTTAAAAATACACAAATTGGTAATTGGGACCACACGTCTTGTATTGTGGGTCATGAGCTTAAAAGTCTAGGAACAGTTGGTGGAAGATATTTTAATACTGATATGACAAATATAGTCATATATAGTCATCTGAGCTGGCGTAGATCTGAGCTGGCGTAGATCTGAGGTGGCGTAGATCTGAGGTGGCGTAGATCTAAGTTGATGTAGATCTGAGTTGGGACATTTCTGATTTAGGGAACAAACAGATGATGACACGAATTCAGTGCAAAGACGCTGAGGTAGATATTTTTTACTGTGCTATTTTTCCCTCTTGTTATTTCCATTATTCATCTTGAGAATTGGGGAATTTATAAAATGCATATATACCCCCATTAAGGTGAATGTAAATCATTTAAAAGTAAGGCAAATTATCTTTTTTTTATGTTATCCAGGCAAAATGGAAGCTTGTTAAGGATCTAGCTCGACTAAATCCAGAGTATTAATTACACATCAGTTGGTTGAATGCACCTGTTGACTATCGTGGGGCAGCATTGATGTAAATCAGAAGATCTGAATAGATTTTCACCCTTTTATTTGAACCAAATAAGCCAAAATTGTCACATATAAGGAATTAAATTATTCCTTCGTCTACAATTCATGTTTAAATGATCACACTAAAACAGATGTTCTGTAGTAATATATTTAAACAAAATGTAGAGAATGATGCAGTTACTGGCACTGCTACCCGGTATATAATTTATTGAAAAATGTGTCCTAATTTTATGTGATTAATTAGATATTTTATCTATACCACTCAGAATTTATTTAAATATACACTTGAATAAGATTAGACAATAAACAACCGATTTTCTACTGTTAGATTTTATGTAAAGAGTATTTCATACAATATCTGCTTGGCAAAGCCCATTAAATATGTGGGTCAACCTCCAGTTCTCTGCTCTGTTTTAAACCCCCGCTCTGTTAACAGTTGGGAAATTTCAAATCATGGGTTTGTGTGTCTAGAAAGATTTACAAACAGCTGAATACGTTTATTTTTGTATGTGAGGGAAGCACATAGTGCCATTCTTTTAGACAGCTGACAAGCAGTGCTCATCAAAAGATAAGAGCACTGTAACAGCGATGGTTTAAACTATTGATTGATGAGTCCTTGATCAGCAAGTATGAGGTCCTTAGCTCTTATGCAGACTTTAAACTGTAGTATAAACAGTGCTTAAAGATATAAAAGCATCACTTAAAAATCGACCAACTACTTTAATTGATCTGGTTGGCGCTGCTTGCAATAGCGGTAAATTTATTTATTTATTTTTTTTATAGTTGACTAATTGTAAAATTTTTAAGGTCAGAAAATAAATTTTTTTAATTTTTCATTAACTCTTGTTTTTGTTTGGCGTCTGATTTTACATAAGCACTTTATCTGGCAGAGTGTCTATTCAGGACCGACAACATTATGCCTTTGTTTACATTTGGTTTTGGAGTTTTTATTATTCATGTCTGTGTAGTTGTTTTCATTTCAGGTTCATCAGCTTTAAATTAACATCTTTTATTTTGTTTTCATGTAACAGAATAATACGTCTTTATTCAATAGCACATTCTCTGCTAGGGCATTGTTCTCTTAAAATGGTATGTTTTACTTAAATAAATGCTGCTGACCATGTTTCAGTTCCCAAAAATGTACAAACATCCCCACTTCCCTGGCCTTCCATGAGCTGTTTGCTTTTTGCAAAGGGTGATGTATTGCTTAATATTTCATCTTTTGTGTAACAAGCACAGACGGAGTTGCATTTTGTTACCAAGTAAATCAAATTTTGCAGTACTGCACTAGAATGAGTTCCACCTTGACATTTTAATAAACATTCAGTGGGACAGCACATAAGAAATCACATATTAATGCCTACACTGCCTGCAACACCTCAAGGTTAACATGTCCAGATTGCGGTTAGTTGGGTTATTTTCCCTCCTCATGTCAGTACTCAGACCATACATGGCATCTTGTATCAAAATGGTCTGCATGCCTGTCATCTCAAGATGAAGCATTTTAAGATAATGCATAAGGAGGCAGTTTCCTAAAGACAAGCAGACCAAGGACCTGGATTACTGGAACCAGGTCCTCTGGTCTGATGAGAGCGAGATATTTGGCTCAGATGGTCCATAACTACTGGGTGACCAGATGAGGAGTAAAAAGACTAGTATGGTTTACTAAAGTCAAGCATGTTGGTGGAAAAGTCATGGTTTGGTGCTGCATAAGTGCCAATGGCAGTGCGGAGCCATAATTTTATTGAGCGAACAATGCAGCAATTGGGTCACAGGCTAGTATTTCAGCATGATAAAGACCCAAACGCACCTCCAAGGTGACCATTGCTTTGCTAAAGAAACTAATTAGACCCTGTTCAAGATCTGCAGGACATCCTAAAAACAAAGAAGGAGCACGATATTATGAACATCTACCAGCTAAATTAAGTCGTCATGGAAGAAAGAGGATTTTTGTAGCAACCTTTGGAGCTCTAGTGAACTCCATGCCCCGAAATTAAAGCTGTGTTACAAAACACCAAATGTGCAAACACAATTTTAGATTCATTGCTGTTTGTATCCTATCTTTACACTGACTGCTATATATTAAAACACCTTCATAGTATTCCCATCAGCAACATTTACAGAAATGTGATGTGAGCAAAACATCTGTACTGACTCAAAATCATCCAGGTTTCCTTTTCCTATGCTTTCCTGTTTTTTATGGATCTGCACTGCGATGTTAATCTCCTGAGAACTGTTATACAAGAATAGCATTAATCACTGCGTAAAAGTGAACTCCTCCTTTCTAAATGACCTTCAGAAAATGGCACAAGAGATGCTAAAGCAATCTGAGCTACTGAGGAGCTCTTCCTGTGTACTTCTGTTGCTGTGCGGTGTTTAAAATCCACCCTTAAATCCGTCTTGTGATAAATGAAGTTGTAGTTTTTTTTTTTTTAGATTTTTATATGTTTGAAAGAATAGTTGTATTATGATAATAGCTGTTAGGTTTAAAGGATAAATTTTAAGGCTAAAAGCTGAGTATTCTTACCACATATCTTCATTTATTAATTTTATAGGTCGATTATGTTCATTTTTAATTAAAAGAAGGTCCAGATTGATTATCAGCTTTGTATATATATGTACACCTGTTGTAGCAAACAGAAATTTACATCAGGTTAAATAAAATAGTCTTCTCTCTCTGCAATATTTATCTGCCTTAACGGCACTGATCTGTAACATTATTCAGACTTTTATCGCCTTTGCTAATAATAGAAAAATGAACGCAGACCAGCTGGTGTAAATGTTCCTCTAACGGGTTTCGCAGCAGCAGATTTTCAGCGTCCTCCGGTGAAAGTGAAACCGAGCCGCTGCGGGCGGCCGGGCCGCGGGAGCGCGCACCACGGGCTACGTTCATTTAGTCACGTAGACCCTGGAGCGCATGCACGCGCAGCACGCGCACCTACATCGCAAAATGTAATTTTGGAAATATATGTACTGCAGTTATATTTGGTTATTTTATAGTTTGCAAACTAATGCAGATGCAAAACATTGAACGGCAATTAAATAGTTAAATTATTTAAAATAGATTACATTTATTTTAATAGGATATGACAAAAACCTCCAGATGCAAAAGGTTTTTGTGATAAGGCTTTTTGCATTTTAAGTTTTTGCAATTCATCAAAATAAATTGACTAACTCTAATATAAAGTGTTTTGCATGTCAATTTTTGTTTTCTCTTGCTGGTATTATTTACAACCGTGGACTAGTTAGCTACATTTGTTAGTGAAAATTTTCAACTTTAGAGAACTTTTATTATAAGAACTTTTAAAATTGGAGGTTTTGAAGGCATTAATGTTCTAAGTTTTATTTGAAATATTTAAAAAGTAGATAAAAAAATCTAAATAAGATGCTTAGGCCTATATACATTTGAATAATAATGATGGTACTTCTATTTTTCTCTATTGTGAAATACTACGCTTTAAACCTGAAATCCAGATTTTTTTCCCCCCAGTTTATCATGGAAGTCGGCTATTTATGCTCATATTTATCAAATTATGCAAGTGTTTTTTTTTTTTTTTTTTTTTTTTTTTTTTTTAGAAAGAATGAACCATTTTACTTGTTTTGAAATAAATAAAATCCCTTTAAATTTAAAGTAGCTACACAGTTTAATTAAAATAGTTAATTAAACACAAAGATAAATTGGATATTGCAACATCATTATTGGGGGAAAAATAAAAATCAATAGACGGTTTTTATTTTTTTATGGACAGTTTAGGAAATATCTGGAATTGCTAGAAGCAATTTTGGACTGTGCAACTAATAACCAAATCACAAATTAAGCAATTGGAGAAGAAATTGCAGCACTAACTGATAGCTGGCTGCATGATAGCTTTATTCTTAAAAAGTTATTTTTATTTTTTTCCCTCACTACGTTGTTTTATTACATACATTTTTGACATCAGTACTTGTCATAGGTGCAAAATACAATAGCTATTAAAATGAATTGTACAAGATACAATCACATTTTTAAAGTGCAATTATCTGATAGGGTTAGATGCAACCTTCAAATGATTTACAGTAAGCAAGTTTATTTACTACTAACAGTTGCTGCTTCAGTTTTTTTTTTATATTGCAGAAGCATAAAAAGTAGGGCTGGGTTTTTTCGCCAAAGTCCTGAATCAATTCGATTTTGATTCATAAAGTTCTAAATCTATTAATTTTGATTCGATCTGTTTTTACAATAAAGAAAGTGGTTCAACTGTGTTTCAAAATACTCATGTATTTTGTTTTTTCCTGTCTCATTAAACACAAAGTGCAAACTTGTAAATCAGACAGTTTAAACTTGAGATGTGAACAAAACTGTCTCAAAAGTGCAAACTTGTTTGTGAAAAACGAAAAAGGGAAGCCTCACTCGACCAAGCAGACGTGACACAGCAGACATGCAGGAGCTGCATTATCTCCACCGCACAAACCATATTTGCAGCGTTGTCTGTAACAACTACAGGGTGTTTGCCGGTCAGCCCCCATTTGTTAATGTATTCAGTTAACCTGTTGGGAATATTTGCAGCTGTCTGGCTTGAAGTAATCTTGAGTGCATCTTTCCTGCTTATTTGAATGTGAACTTCACGCGGGTCACTAAAACGAATCAATCTCATTCCCTAGACATCAATTTAGCAAAAATGTAAAGGAATCGATTCAAAATGGATTAAATCGATTTCTTTACCTAGCCCTAATAAAAAGTGTAACTGAAAATTAAAATTTAGATTTGAACTGCTGCTTGTCCTATGGTTGCAAAGTACTGTTAGCAGCATAATTTAAATGTTGTTCATCCCAGTGTATTTTACTGTCGATGGAAAAATGTCTGTTACCACCTAGATGTCAAGGCTTATTGGACATCTGCAAGACTTCCCCTTTTTAAATGGATGAAAGCAGCTTTTGTGATGTTAAGTTTAGCCACTTCCCCTCTGTGCCTAATAATCTTAGCTTGTGTTCTTTTGTGGGGCTAGTTTTTTTGGTTCATATCTGTTATTGATATTATTCATGATTATATATTATTTTATAAACGCATAGTCTATCATATAGACTGTGTTCCTTTTAAGGTGGTTTTCTAAGGATTAGATGGTACAAAAAAAGCCTTCTATACGTCAGAATCAACTAATGAAATCAAAGGAAAACTGCTTTAGGTTGTTCAGATTTAGTTCCTACTTCCACTTAAGTGTGCAGACAGAATGCATCTTGTTTTGACATTTCATTAAAGTATTCCTAATCTTCTTCCAGGAACCGGTGGTTTTGACAGACACAAACCTCGTATATCCAGCTCTGAAATGGGATATCCCATACCTCCAGGAGAACATTGGAAATGGAGACTTCTCTGTTTACATTTCGGAAAACCACAAATTCCTTTACTATGATGAGAAGAAAATGTGCAACTTTACAGACTTTGTTCCCAAATCCCGTCGAGTGGAAATGAAATTCTCAGAGTTTGTGGATAGCATGCATAAAAGAGAAGAGGAAGGAGGAAATGAGAGGTAAATGATTTGTGCATTTTTAACCTCTGGCAGCTAAATGTTGCAGAAAAGACATGTCTTTGATACAGAGCCAGTGAATAAGCAGTTATACACATGAGAGGCTTATTCCTTTGACATGATGGATCTGGTTGCTCTTACTATACTAAGATTAACTTGCCAACTCTTAAAGTTGATGTTTTCGTGGGTTTCCAGCTTCTGCCTCATTCAGTTCAACATTAAACTCCACTGTAAACAAGGCCATTTTCTTTTTTGCAACACTTAATATTAGCCGGACTAGGGAATGTTTTCAGCCATCTGCTTGTGAAATGGCATGACTCATAATTAAAGCACGTCTCTTTCCTCATGTGTTTCAAGAGTCTATTTGCAGCAAACACTAAATGACACAGTAGGAAAGAAGATTGTTGTCGATTTTCTTGGTTTCAATTGGAACTGGATCAACAAACAGCAAGCCAAGAGAAACTGGGGAGCACTGACGTCCAACCTGCTGCTTGTTGGCATGGAGGGTGAGCTTCTCATTTCTCTTCTGTAATGCAGTTTCCATAACCCTTATTGGCAAATGGAGTTCACCTGTGTGTGGAAACATTCCTGTTCTATTAACTTCAGAGAGGCTTTCAAAGGAAACAGTAGAATATTTCAAAATGTTGAGCATCATATATGTTTTAAAACTTCACAGGCAACGTGACACCAGCACATTATGACGAGCAGCAGAACTTCTTTGCACAGATAAAAGGCCACAAGAGATGCATCCTCTTCCCTCCAGACCAGTTTGAGTGTCTCTATCCCTACCCAGTTCATCACCCCTGTGACAGACAGAGCCAAGTAACTTTTGCTGTTCTCCAGATTTAAAAGTGGCTCATTAAGCTTAAGGACATACTTTCATATTTTTCAACAACTTCTGCCTTTTTAGGTTGATTTTGATAACCCTAACTATGAGAAGTTTCCAAATTTTAAAAATACTGTTGGGTATGAAGCTGTTGTGGGACCTGGAGATGTTCTCTACATCCCTATGTATTGGTAAGACATGCTTTTGATCTTCCTGTTTTCTGCATTTAACCACCAAACTGTGTAAGTTTAAATTGTGCTGAACGAGATCTTAACTCAGTTTATCTTCTTGCATTATAAACGGAAAATTTGTTCTGGATAAAAATAGATAGAACTGTTAACTGAAACTGTATCACAGAAGGTGGAAGCCATATACTGTATCAGCCCTGCAGGCAGACAGCTGAGCTCAGGAAGAACAAGCTAACCTCTGCGACATCTCATCTTGTTTTAGTTTAAGAAAGCCAGATGTTCAGTAAGCCTAAGTTAATGAGACTATTCAGTTTTTGTTTTTTACATAAAGTTATGAGAATGTGTTGAGACTGAGTATAGAAATTGTCCATACTACCTTCACAGTTAAATGCCTGCTGACTTTTTGGCAGGACACTGGAATCACCATTCAGTTCTAAAATGATTTAAGCTCGAATTTCATGCTTATAATCCATTTCTGTCAGTCACATAGTTCACAGATTCAGAAAAAAATATATATATTTTTTTGTATTTCTAAATGATAGCTTTAATTACTTACAATTATTCTTTAGCATTCTTCAAATGTATACATTCAGTTTTCCCGAGATTAAAAGTGAAAGATTATATAAAATGACAACAAGCACATGATTTGCTCTAAAAATGATAGATTTAATTCTATTTAAGCTTTTTTTCCTCATTATTTTCTAACTGCATATTAAAAAAAATCTTTCTCTTGATTTCATCTTCAAATAAAAACAAGCTATCAGAAGAAAAAACATGTTTTTTTTTATGGTTTCTTTCAGTCATTTTTGTCTTGTTTTAAAGGTGGCATCACATCGAGTCATTGTTGAATGGTGGAGTGACCATCACTGTTAACTTCTGGTACAAAGTACGGATGTTCAAGTCGAAAGCTGTTTTGAATAAAAGAAAGTGTGATTCTCAATACATTTTTTAACCATTTTGTCTAATTGTGTTTTTTTAGGGAGCTCCTACGCCTAAGAAGATAGAATACCCTCTGCGAGCTCATCAGAAGGTTGCTATCATGAGGAATATAGAGAAGATGCTTGGAGAAGCACTTGGAGATCCACATGAGGTAAATAAAAAATATATACACATACATTTGTTTGCTGCTATTACTGTTGCAAACGAAGCGCAGTGTAAACACAATCATCTGAATAATGTTTGCACTTGAATGTCACATTGCCTGTTTCTAGAGTAGTTAAAAATGATCTATATTTAGGTCAATGTTAAAATAAAATCCCTCCAGGATACAGACCCTCCCAACAACCCAGTTACTGTGAATATTAATGGATAGCTTGATTTTTCCACCAACAGAAGATGAACATTTAGGGCAGAGTGCTGCATTATTTGCGATTTTATGAAACAGTAAACTCCTCTTTCTTCTCTGTAGGTTGGGCCTTTACTAAAAACGATGATCAAAGGGAGATATGACCAGTGTTTCAGTTAGAGCTCCAAGCCGCTGAACGGACTGCTCCACAAACTGTTTGCATGTGAAGCGTGTGTGTCTTCAGTACGCTTTCTGTCGTCGGAGCTAAGCAGCAGTGCATGGCAGCAATCAGCCAACATGAAACCATTCTGCTTCTGTCTCAGAATGCCACTGTCATAATAATGGTACGGAGTCAGGAAATGAATTACACCACTGGGATTTTAACCAACTCTAAGAGGATTATTTTCTTTCCCTTTTTCCCCCCCTTGGAGTGAAGACTTCCACACATATTTCCTTGAATCAGTGTTTCCTTAAGTCTTACAAGTTCCGCTTTGGCCTTAAATTTTGATATTTGTACCTTTGAGGAAGCCTCTGTGTTTTAGATGAGTAAAAATTGCTTATATAGGTGACATAAAGAGATTTCATATCTTAAGGGATGAATTTTGAAATCCCAATATTCCATTCGTTTTCACAGAAAAAAATGTTCTTTAGAATAACTTTATCTGCATTACCGGTATGTCAGTTCATACTAATCTGCATTCATTTATCAACAAGACTCACGATAATTAAGAAAGAATATAAAAATCACTCAGTTATTAGATGATAAAGGTATGATTTGAGTATAGCTAAAGGTATTAATTAAAAAAATGCTTTTGTTTGTATTTGTATATTAGATTTTGTTGAATTTGCAGCCAAACTATAAAAGACGGAGCTTTGCATACAAACGTGACTAGCTGGAAATCTAACAAAACTACGATAAGTTTAATGGAACAAATGATAAATATTAAATGCCACCAGTTGATGAGCTAATAAGATCATCTACTGCTTTGTCGTTGTGCAGCTTATAGCACCATCTAGTGGTCAAGTTTTGGAAAAGTTTGTCTTTTCCATTTTCTTTTTCAGATTAGAAATAAAATAGTTAAGCAACACAAACACAACTTTAAAAGAGCTCCATTATAGCCACTTTAAGCTTATCAATGATCAGACATGCATTTATTAGGACTTTTCTTACATCCGGCATAAACACTTATCACCCTGAAAAATACACCAAGCCTGCCAGCTGGAGACTAAATTTCCCTCTAAGGCCTCTTAGACATGTGATTTTGTTTATACCTTTCTTTAAACCTTTTCCAGAAGTTTTTTGCATATTGCAGATTAGTTTGAGACAGAAAAAGCAGAATAATATGTGGTTTGCCAAAAACACTATTTTCTCACCATGCAAACTTCAGAAAATAAGTCCCAGCAGATTTTCATCCTGTTAAATAGTGTTTATATATATTTCTTTATTAATTGCACTCTATTCAATTTATTGAGTTTTAATTCATCTGTTAGAAAAATATACATCAAAGTGTTTCAATTTCTAGATGAATTGTTTACTGTGTATTTGCCTGATAGGATACATGACAACAAAGGAAGTTGATTTGAAACTTTTCTATATTATGGTGAATGTGTTTGCTTTCACTCTGGAATTAAAAAGCTTTAAATCTGAAAGTGTTTCATTAATGCTGTTTGGAATACGGAGTCTTCTGCTGTTTTGGTGAAACATTTATTGAGAAAGTTTATTTGCAGACGGGCATGTAAGATCAAACATCTCCAGGCTTCCTTCATAATGTTCTGGACTCCTAAATTGTTAAACTTTGTTTAAATAGAACAGTCTGATACTGATAGTCCGACACCGAATAAAGTATCTGGATTTACCTCAACCATTTTAAATAAAATAAAAAAAAATGTATCCCAGACTTGTACTCTTTAAAGCAGGTAGTACAATATTTGGTTAAAAGTACACAATTAGTGATGTGTGTTGAATTTCGTATCCTGTGTGAGGTAATCGTTAGAAGAGGAGGTAAAATTGTCCTTTGAACATTGGAACAGCAAGTCCAGAGCACAAATACTAATGGATAACATTTTAAATTAACTGGTAAACTATAAGAAAGCATCTCGATTTAATGTAAAACTGGATTTATTTATCTTTAATTGACTTGTCATTTAGAACATTGAAAGAGGAAAAAAAAGCCAAATTAATACTAACATTTCTAAACCCAATTTTTTCTTTGAAAATAATTAAAAAGCAATCCTACTTCTAAAGATTGCCTAGGATGTTGAAAATAAGTGGACATGCAAAGTAAAATGTTTCACTCGGATTTATCTGAATAATTTCTTTTAGACCTTAAACAGGAAGCCCATGGTTGTCTACAAAAGTTAGGTTTACTATAAATTGTTTATCAGAAGCTATGATGAAGATAAAAATATTAACAGTTTCAGAAAGGTCTGCTCCTTGATCTACAGTAACACCACTGCATGATAAATATAACATCACATCATCTTAACATCCAGTTCTATTATACAGTCAGGGATATAACAGATCATAGGATTCAAAGAGCTGCACGTTACATCAAACAGAGGAGGAATATAAATAGTTAATCCTGGGAAAAGAAGAAACACATCAGCTTATTTGTCCTAAATAAACAACTCAAAAGAATAAAGGAGTTCACTCATTTTACAATAGTTGCAAGTGAGGCAAAAATTCACACACAAACACAACTGAGACAAGAGCCACAGTAGTTTTAGGTTTCCCTGAAAAAACAAACACCTTTCATCTTTATGAACACAATCCAACTTCCAGAAGTTGCACAGAAGGCTAAATAAAACAATGATTTGCAAACCTGTTGAATCAGTGTTAATATACATTTTATGTGTTGAGAGCAAGGGGTCAAACCACTGCTGTTTTAATTACGTTATTCAGATTTTACTTTATTTCAGCTGTCAACAACAGGCCTTGTTTGTCAGTGCAACATATTTTACAATAACCTAAATGTCTTAACATTTCCATATCTTCTTTGTATGTTTTTGCTTCTAGGGGTTTAAAATGTTATATCTGCAACAATTCAGTATATCCACCAATCATAGGGACTTCTAAGTCAATGAATCATACTTTCTGACCGACGTTATCAGCTTTGAAGATTTACTGTACACATCTGATAAGAGTTTAACTCATCCAGGGATGAAACCTCCAACATATAGTTGGAAAACATTCCTGCTTATGTTACAGCAATTCATAATATCAATTGATTATCAAAATAAGCAGGTAATGAAATAATGGTTTACTTGATTATGCAGAGTTGAAAACATTCCATTTGGTAAAAACAACCACCCCAAAAACAGAGAAGCCAAACAACTAATACATTTTACCTTAAGGTGAATATCCTTTGTAAGATGCTCTGTCCAGAGCAAAAGTGGCAGTTTTAAGTTAACCTGGTTCAAATTGTATTAAATAACTATGAAGCATATTATTTACCTACCTATTATTAATCAATTAATCAAAGAAAGGCACAAATCCATCAATTATGAAAATAGGCATTACATAAAGTTTTTTATCAAGTATTTATTTGTTGCATCCAGTGTGACCATTAAAAAGAATTCTGCCATAATCATCTCCTACAATAACTTCCTCAATCTCAGATAGTATCTAAGCATTTTTTTTTTAAATACCATAATTAACACTGTTTAAAAGGTGGGAAGAATCCTCTCCTCAGGACCCTTCCAAAAAATGTATGTTTTTAAATACCAATTCAACAATATTGTAAAATTCAATTAATACAATGGAAAATGTTTAAAGAATATTATTATATCAAGTGCTTGATTAGAACATAACTCATTGGAGGATTTCCTCCTCTAAAGCTCTGAGATTTAGTTTGGTGTTCTTCTGATGATAAGTGAACAAACTCGCGGTAAGATGTTCATAAATCCATGATTACAGACTACATTATCCCAGAGAGAATGCAAGTAATTAAGTACATTTTTCAGACTTGTTATAAGGGGGTACGGTATCCCAACTTTTCCTCATGGTTTGTATAATGTATATCTTTTGTTTGGTTTTAGTACAACAGAGGCTATTTTTTATCCAGCTTCAATAAATTACCGTTTCCTGATAAACACAACATTAAGACATCACTATTTGAACATTATGTTGAAGAGAACTGAAAAATGAATAGCCTTTCCTGCTTTCTCAACTGTTTATCATCATCTAAACTGAGAGGTTTTTCAAATTAAAGGCGTGAACATACATCATACAGTAACAGATATACTGTATTTTATCTCTATAGCCATTTCAAATTTAATGAAGAGTTTAAGCTAGGTTTGCAAATCATTGCTTCCAAAAATTAATACAGGCAGCTAACATTTTGGTGACACCGCTGCAAAGTATTTAAGGATTTGCCAACATAATTATTTACATATCAAAAATAAATGATCTGGGCTTTAAGATAAAACTCATCAGGTTTGCAATTTACAGAAGAATTGAAGGAAACCAAAAACCACATGTTCCAATACATAAGACGGTGTTGTAGTTTGTTCACTTCTAGAAAAAAAAATGTATTTGCTTTCCAGCAAACGTTTACATTAATTTAGCTTTTTCAGTAAATATGATGGATGAAAATTAGACTTATGTTGTCAGGGCGAAGCCAAATCTGTTAGTGGTCAAAGTGGCTCAGTAGAGAATAACAAATATACAGTTTTTCCCTACTCAGTAATAAAGACACATACTAAGACTCCTTTCTTTTTAGACATTTGCCTTCACCCTGGATCAGTGCAATAACTTACAAATCTGTAAATCTGTCAGATAAAATACAGTTTTGGAGTGTAGCAAAAACACAACATACATAATTAAAGGCTTAAGCAAAATTCTATAATAAACCATGATGAAATATATGGGGGATGGGGAAAGAAACTAAGACCTCTAATGTCCTAAATTAACTTCGGCAGCACCACTTATTCACAAACATAGAAATGCTCACTAGGAAATATCATGGATCAATAATTCCTGCCCGAAAAGAGCTGTCAGTGCAACATCAGACCTGCTGAGGTGGCCAAAAATAAATCTGACACACAAAAAAAACAAAAAACAACTTACAACAGCTTGATGAAAAAAAGTTTGAAAAGCATCAGCGACGCAGCTAAAATACCAAGATATTTTTCAAGGCATGATGGTTAGAAATGTTTAAAATAAGCCACTCCCACACTGAAAAGACAAAATGCTTTCTACTACTTGGGGAGAAAAAAAAATTACACCAAGTTCCGGTTTAATGAGCTGGATAAAGGAGTAGTGTAAACAATGCTGTTACTAGCTGCAGGAGCTCATCATCAATGAAAGCGGTACTTTCGGGCCGGCTTCAGGTTGACGTAGGTCTTCTTCATTTCGTCATCCTCGTTTTTCTTCACAAGCTGGTATCTCTCACCTTTTGTTGTAACCACCTGGTTACCATGGTAGCGAACAAGCTTTTTTGGAGCCTGATTAAGAGAGACAAAAAGTGTTACTGAAAAAAAAAAAAACTTCCTGAAGATGAAATCTGCTCAGAATCATACATCTTTGGGGGCGACAGGCCGATGTGTTTTGTTATCTTCCTCACTGTCCACCAGCATGTATCTGCACAGAGAGATTGAACATTAACTTGAGAGGATATTTCTGTTTACAGCCATGATATTAACCATTTGACTTACTTCTCAAGGATACTCTCTTTAAGTTTCTGGTCCGCAAGAGAGGAAATGCTTTTCCCTTGGTTTACCTGAGACAGCAGAATGAGATCAACTCAGCTGTTTACTGAGGCATGTACAAGTATTCTTTATTATGCAACAACTACAAACTTTACTGCATTTATTGGGATTTTATGTTACAGACCAGCAAAAATACAGCATCGTTTATGAGTCAAAACATGTTCAAATAATTTTCTAATTCGAATTGAACCAATTTTAGTTTAAAGGTATAGTGAGGGATTTTTGAAAAGAACCGCCCTTTGCACTTAAAAAAAATATTAAAAATGCACATGCACAACCCTGTACCTGCTCCCGAGAGGGAGCATCTATTAAACGTGTACGAGAGCATGCATGAGCCCATTTCTCCTCGTGCACGCTCTGCTTAAAAGTTTCCTTTTGCATCGCTCATACAAACTTACTTTCCAAAAGATTTGCAATTTTTCCACTATGTCAGACTCACCACCAGTAAGTGAAAATGGGGATGAGCAAGTAGAATGGTATTGCGTAAACATATCACCAGAATATTTGACAATTAAGAGGACCACTTATTTAGATGATACACCCAGAAATAGAACATCCACTACACCTTTAACAGTCCCAAAGTAAATGCATAAATCCAGATCAATGAACTGCTTTCAGGAATCAGTCAACTAGTAAAGACCATCGTATCGGTTATTTCAAACTAAGTATGAATGCAAGTTTCTGATGATGAACACAACATGGCATGGTACCATGCTGATGGGAGGCTTTTCTCATGCAGGGACAAAGAAACCTGTTGATAAAAGGGACACAGTGCAGCACTAAAAAAAAAACCTGTTAGCGATTTCCAAACACTTGAAAAAAGGGAAACATAACTCCATCCAGGAAAACAACACTAAGTGCAAAGTAAGAGCTAAGACTGAAAGGCTTAGATCAAAGCACACCCATGTGTTAGAAAGAAATAGCTTAAGTTCAGAGCAGAGAAACTGTAGCGATGATGATTTACCACAGACACGCCTTGATTTCCCCCACTGTGGGATGATAAAGGATATTTCTGTTCTAACTTGAACCACTTCATAAAGAAGAATGTGGAAAAACCCTTCAAGCTGTAAAATTAGTAAACAGGGGTTCTGCAAAGCCACTGGCTGGGCTGATGCGATCCTCATGAGCCCTTTTTTTTTTAGATTTTTCATTTTCAAAATAATCTTCAACTTTTTGTCAGTCTTTCACATAATGTGCAAATTAAATTGGTCAAAATGTGTGGTTTTAACTTGACCAAATGGGAATAAAGTCTGTATGCATAACGTTTGCAGGTTGCAGGGGTAACTTAAAAATGGTGGAGAGCCCCTAAGATAAAGCGCAAAGTTTTTTCATCATGGAGACTTACATTAAGAGGAGTAGGGCTGAGCTGCACATCCCCTTCTATGATAAGTCGCACCGCCTCCTCCATGTCTCCTTTAGCAATGGAAAGGGCACTGCGAGCTTCTGACAAACTGCACTTTGGAAACATCTCCAGCAGGTGCTGCTCTTGGATCTCCCACTCAGACACGGACAGCTGAAGAACATCATATTTATAGTTTTAAATATTAATTCTAAAGCTTGAGGTGGAAAGTAAAACTGCTGATGCGTGTTGTTGTCATCACCTTGGCTGTAGCGCCCTCTGTCTGTGTTTTAAGGCACTGAGGTTCTTGTCCTGGCGCTGGTTGACTGGCCAGGGTAGTAAGTTTCAAAGAAAGCTGTTCTGTCCCTGTCTTAGGCACGCTGTTTTCTTTGTCAGCTGAAAAGCAACAAAAAATAATCAACATTTAGTTTGTAATGCAGGCTGGTAAAGGAACGCTTTAGGAAAATATAATCAAACACTCACCCGATGTCCGAGCAGTGGCCAGCTTTGAAGCCAGACTGAACATCATTTCACAAACTTTGACACTAAAGAGAAAATGAAAACCATTATTTAAAAATCTCTATTCGTCTTACTTTTATATAACCAACCAAGAGACAACATGTGGCTGTGTTACCTGTCAATTTCAGCAAACCCAGGTATGTAAGCTTCCAGCATTTCTCCAAAGACCTCCACATCAAAGTTCTCCTCAACGCTCTGCTGGGAGCCCAAATCCTCAAGGACTCCAGTGATGTACGACAGAAGAACATCATCCAGCGTGCTGCATTGAGGGGGGGGATAAAATCACCATAAGTTTACAATGTTTCTACCACTAGTTTACTTGAAAAGAAGACAAATATACACCTTTTCATCCAATGGAAGAAAGTGTAAACATTTTGACCTCATCTCAGAGGCTTTGTTAAATCTATAATGTACAGTCTACTTTATTCTGTAGCCGTGAATGGATTTAGATGAGCTCCTAGAGTAAATCAAAATGTGTCCTGTTCAAGCTGTTCAAATTGTAAGTACATAAACAACGAAAATTTTAAAAAAGCAAGATATTCTAGGTTAGCGCAACAAAGCATTAATGTTTTATCACGTAGTTTATTACATCATTACAAAAGGTTAACATCAACGGTTATTTTGCAGAATATATTGTGGATTTGATACAAGTTGCATTTAATTCACATGGGCCTGACCCTCTAAGACACAGCCCTTCCTCATTTGCATAATGAGGCAGAAATGTATACAGAAATGTAAAAACGACAGAAATAAAGAGGGTAAAAAAATACAAAGGAAGAATAAACCAAACAAAAATATTCTATCATGCACATAAATAAATACTTTAAAAGCTAAGTAATAAATAAATAAAGTTGAAGATTACATTGGACAATAAATAAATAAGGTAATTATTACAAAGGTGAATAAATAAAGAAGCGAAAATTATACCACTTTATAATTTAATTTCTACCTACATTTATTTGTTTATAGTGTTTTTGGGGGCAATTAATTGCATTATTATTATTATTATTATTATTTTTAAATATAGGCAGAGTTGGTCCTCCATAGAGTTTTCCATCATAAATGACGAAATAAAAAAAGAAGGTACTCCAGACTCAAAGTAGTTTTTTAATTACTGAAGCCTGCCAAGTTTTATCTTTGAGGGTAGGAAAAAGTTATACTAATGTACATAAGAAAAAAAAAAATACTTGTAATGGGTAAATACTAACATATAAAAATCCTTTTCAAAGTATTACATCACAAAACGATGGAAACCATTATCGGCACATTTTACTGATGCTTTAAGTAGCCAATTATATGTTTTTCTAGATGTGATTCGGGTTCAATAACTGAAGTAACCAAAGCTCTATTATAGTTAATCTAGATAAAGATGAACAATTCTGACTTTAAAGGGATTTGAATCATTCTGATCAGGGTCTTACCTTAGGTCTGCATCGGGAATGTAAGTCTGGATAAATTCGTGCAGGGCGCTGTGGATGATTTTTTGGAGGTCCATGTTGTTCTCCTGTTGATGATGATGATGATGATGATCAGGGTAGCTATTACTGACAGCAGCCAGCGACATTTTTAAATAACCCAAACCAACAGCTGTCGCTCATCTAACAAGGCTACACTCTAGGGCCTAAATATAGATGTTACAAAAAGACGTTACAAAACCCCTTCTTCCGGTAAGCTAAGCATGTTGACACTGATCCTACATCATGAACATATCGAGCATCAGCTGAGCAACATCATGACCTCTTTTGTGTGTTAGCTTTGTTGTGCTATTAGCACATTAAAGAGCTAACGGTTATTACAGCGGCTGAGGGTGATGATAAACCACTAAACGAGTCTCAATAAACAACATCAACATATAAAATGTATTAATCTACTAAATGGGATACAAAAAACACCATGTTGATAAAATATTAAATATTATGTAAGAGTCATAGCGGAGAAGGAGCGCCGTTAGCTACGGAAAACAACCAGCTAGCAAGACAAGGGACTGTTTCCATAGTAACGGAAACCTGGATTATTTAAACAGAGCGACTGATTTACCGCGTTAGAGATTATGGATACATGAAGTTTGCAGTTTCCCCCCCGATGTGTGAGAGAGGAGGGTCGGGTTGAACAGTGCAAAGGTTATGCAGGCTCGATCAATCCCAGTTAGCCCGCACGATTCAAAACGCAGGTGACGTCACTTCCGCTAAGTGTAAACAGCCAGGCGTGTCGCGGATAGGCTAAAGGTGGGAAAGAGTCACGAAGCACATGGCTATAAAAAAAAACAACAAGAAAAACAAAACAGAACAGAACATAATGATTTCATACTACTAAAATTAAACACCAAAAACGCAAGAACAGTAAACAGTGTAGTGAAGAGGCAGGCCTATGGTCGAATATGTAAAAAAGATGGGCACTGAAAGATGCATGTTGTAAAGCTTTTGTTTTCAAAGAGAAAAAAATATATAGTTTTAATTAATAACTAAGCAGACTACAACAAAAATAAATGTGATTTGAATTAAACACAACATTACTGCAAAGTGACCAAAAAGTGAGACTGCACATGTAGAAATCAAAAGTCACCTTACTTAGAGGAAATGTGAACCAGTCGTCTATTGTAAATAAAACAGAGCCTACGATAAATTACTTAATAAGGAATACAAATGTGAGAAGCCAAAATCAAACAATAATAATAAAATAGATGGAAAATACAATTATATTCAGTTTATTTCTATAGTGCCAATTCAAAACACATGCCATCTCAAGGCACTCTACAGCTCACCAGATCATACAGTCAAATTGATTCAAAGTTTTCTATCTAAGGAAAACCAGTTGATTGCATCAACTCATTGACTGGAGTGCAATTCCTCCCACTAAGCATGCTTGTGGTGACAGTGGAGAGGAAAAACTCCCTTTTAACAGAAAGAAACCTCCTGCAGAACCAGGCTCCGTGTGAGCGGCCATCTGCCGAGGCCGACTGGGGTTCAAGGAGACAGAAGCAGAGATACAAAAAGCAGCTGTAAAAGGCGGCCCCTTCCAGGAAACACACAGCCAGGCAGACGAGCTCTGAGCCAGCTCCCATGCCAGAGGACGAAGAGAGCACATCCACTCAGTCACGGTCAGAGAAACAGGACTACACTGGAAAACAGGCCAATCTCCAACATCTATAAACAAGGGTTTTGATGGCAAAATGATTTGAAAATTATATTTCCCCCAGTTAATAATTCTTATTTTTTTTATACATCTTAATAAATGATCCTCCTTTTCATTTTAATGTGTCATTTTTATTATCATACCTTTGGAGGTATTTTAAGAACATTTTACATTTTGTTTCAGCCTTTTAAAGTTTTTTTTGTAACATTTACTTTTTTGTTATTCATTAGATTTTGCTCTTATTTTGCTTCATCCAGTCCAATTGTTTTTCAATATTGCATTAATTTATAGACATCAATTTTCCTCATAAATTGTTTGCATGGTGAAACAGTTTGTAGCACTGTTGCCTTGCAGCAAAAAGGTTCTGGGTTCGATTCCCAGAATTGAACATTCCTATGTCTTTCTGCATGGAGTTTGCATGTTCTCTCCGTGCATGTTTGGGTTCTCTCTGGGTATTACAACTTCTTCCCAGAGTCCAAAAACATGACTCTCAGGTTAATTGACATCTCTAAATTGTCCTTAGGTGTGGGTGAGTGCATGGTTGTACATCTATGTCTGTCTCTGTTTTGCCCTGCAACGGACTGGCATGTCCAGGGTGTACACCGCCTCCCACGCATAGACATAATTATTTTTTTAATAATAGTGGAGGAGGTGTCTGGGCAGAGGGAAGCCTGGGAGTCACCACTTAGACTGCTGCCCCCTCCAATGTGTATAAGATTGGGAGACAGCAAGTAGGAGTCGTGCTTTTCGAAAATTCTTCCAATCTCATGAAATAAGTTTATCGATTGTCCTCTTGTGGATTTTTAAAATACTATTCATAAAAGATTCTAACAATCCATCCATCCAT